CTCGTAAGGGCAAAAAAGCATGATGTCAGCATCTCCTTAAATATTCTTTTGGAACCAAATTGGGACTGAAAGTTATTGTCGAAAGGAACAACAGGAGAGTAGGGGTTTCTCCCAGACTGGAAGAGTGGAATTTACTATGGAAGAAGAGTCAACAATCACCCTAAGAAGAAGAAGAAGGGCATTTTGCAGAGCTGAGGTCGTAACCTTTGGCACTTTTCCTGGACGGGCTGGCCATGTAGGTAACTTGAGCTACTTTAGAACATTCCCCCAATGTGCTTTCCCTGTTCACCCATAGCCCAGAACACTTTTTGATGGGAGCCCATCCTTACTTTATTGTTACTCTTCATTCATYAAAGCCTCTTTCATTTTTCTTTTTCTTTTCCTACCCAGTTACTTTCTCCAAAACCATAAGTCACATCTAGATATTTTAAGCCATCCTAAACTAAGAAATCCTCTTTTTTTTTTCCAGTTAAATGAAATTGAAATGTGTTAATAGGAAAACACCCTCATTTCATTCATTCCTATTTACAATCTGTAGAAAGGCCTCCAGTCTGAAGCCTGTGGACCTCAGAGGCTGAGGTTTGTAAAAGCAATTAAATAGAACCCAACCAACTCAGAGCATTCTTTGGAGCAGTCAGAGATGTAATCTTACCAGTATTTTTATCAAGACAAACCTCACTGGAGTACTGGGCTAATTGGGAAAATTATCAGCCTGATAGCTCATCATCTGCAAACAGCTATTTGGGTGTTTTTTCCCCCCTGCAGTTTGCTGTCATGTCACTGAAAAGCCAGAGTCAATGCRAAATGACAAAACCCTCCATCTTGTCCATGTAAATACTGCATCATTGCACAAACCGCATTTCAATCCCAACCACATCTAGCTCCCACTTCTATCAAAAGAAATTGTGTACCCAAGAAACACAGTCACCCCTGTGAACAGTTTTCAGAATTCACGTTAAATATTTATCATACAGTGGGCTGTTCCATTTTTCTTTTTCACCTTCTTAAGTAATAAGAGTGGTTTCTCAGGACCAAGTTTTACAAGTAAGTATTATTGATCATTCCAAAACATGCTTTGTTGCCTGGAGTGAAAGAAGATGTTTTTGTGTGGCTTGATTCTATTACTTTTAGTTTTATGATTATCCTTTAATTCCCTTCTAACCTAGTTCAGTTCACTTTCGGAAGAATCATTGTATGATGAAGAGTAATGATAAAAGGAAAGTAGGTTTAGAACAAAACAGATCATTTTCTAAGCCTCTGGGGGAAAAAAAACATCAAAAACAAGAGATGGTTCAATTAAGTAAATTCGCAAATATCCTATTATTTAGGAGGCACTATTTCTGGATTGTTTGATGCTTCTCTTTCTTTCCTCCCAGTCATTTGTGTTCAATTTTMTCATCACTCTTATTACAAGCCCCTCTCCCATCACTTGAAAAGCATATCTAAAGCTAAAAATCTGTTCAATTTTTATGTTATCTGTTCTTACTTTTTATGTCATCTAATTTAATTCTTTGGTCATTCCAAGACAAGGAAGTGCTAGGACCTCCCCTTTTACAGATGAGAACACTGAGTCTGGGTCCTCATGTCATTTGCTCAGTATGACTCTGCCATTAGGTAGCACAGGCAGGACCACTGGCATYAAGTTCAAGTCAATCCCTTTTTGGATTCATGAGCAATTCTTGTAGTTTAAATATTTTAGAAAATATTGATTAGATGAGCATGTCGCAAGTATGAAATATATTAGCATTTTTTAAATAAGAAAMTTGAATTGACTAAAGTCTGTCTTCTGGTAACAAAGCCCAAAATATCAAAATGGAGATCATTCAGGTTTACTAGTGAAACCCCTGGTTTTATGTCACAGTCATTTCCTTTCTTCTAGATTTCATTTAGGATTAGCAAATTCAGTGTGACAACTTTGATTTTTATGATACAGTCTCCATGTGGTTGGTTAAAATGTATTCTATCACCTTGAGGTTGCCCACATTTCCCACAAAGCCAAACCCAGTGTGTGTGGGGTGGGGTGAGTTAATGCACCTTACCTAAAATACCTTGCTTGAGGAGGTGAATAGGTAACTGTATTGGAATTCCTGGTAGAATTGCACTTTTTGTAAGAACACGGATGTTAACAAGAGGTATATGAAAGTTAAGAGCCTTTGGATATGTTGTGGGAATATTTCCTTCTTTATTTACCAAAATGTGCATCTGGGGAGGCTATGACCCCTGGTTTAGTTGCCTAAGGAGTTCTGGTTGGCCTTCCTTATTTACAACACTGACAAAAATTTACAATATCTACAAGGACATCAAACTACTTTTGGCTAAAGTAAGAAGTATCTTTGAAAGGGTGTATATTAAAAATGAGAGTTGTGCACATCGGTTTAGAAGAAAGTTATAAAAGTATTTCTGGTACAATCTGGTTAGGCCTCTTTGAATACTCTTAGAGGCATTGAGAAGGTCATTATATATTATCTAAGCAATGTTATATGTAATATTTATAATGTTATATTAGATTTATCTAAGCAATGTTATATATAATGTCCAAATTGTAGGTTTATATGAGTAGCAAATGGCAGAGATTGAGTTTCCATATTAATGACAATAATTGGGGAAAAAAAAACATATAACCCCAAACAGATTTGCTAAGATACAAAACCTAGTGAAATTTTATGGTAGCACTTGAGAAATTCCGAATGGTTCTACAGACCAAATCCATGGCCATTCTGCCACCATTTTATTATTTGAGAATATTTGAATGCCTAAACTTGTTTAAATATGGACCATTTAATCATCACATGGCTTTTGGCTTTCAGGAGCACCTCCTCCCCAAATCATCACATATTCCCTGGCTAACTGAATTTATTTCTTTATGTCCTAAACACTGTCCCTCTGCTTAGCCAAATGGATTCTATTTCATCTCACTCTTTCCTACTTGGCGTACCCTTACCTATCCCTGCCCTATTTCTACAGAATTCCATGCTTTACTTAGTCAGTGTATCACTATGGTTTTGCAAACCACCTCTTCTCTTTGTAACATCTTCTATTTTTACCACTCATTCATATAGTTCTTTCCTTTACTATTTCACTCTTTTTTTGAGAAAGAAGAATGATTCCCTTCCATTCCAAGTTGCTTTATTCATGCACGCTTTTTGCAGGTTGCTAACCTGGATTTGTTGATACGCTGACTTAAAAGAGTGCTGTCAATCTTGTTCACATGTTTATGTTGTATCTCCCAAAGGAGATTATAGACTCTACAAGAGACTGTCTCCTAAGAATTCTGTCTATGCCAAGTGTCTAAAACAATGTTCCTTTAGAAATGCCAAATAAAGGTTGTTGATGCATAGATTTGCCTATTAGTCACTATTAAAATACAGGAATATTTTGTTCCAGAGAAACCAACAAAACATTGCTTGAACATCTTTTACTTCTTTAGAACAATTAAAAGCAAGGACTGCTAAATTTTAGAAATTCCCATATTGTCCATTTTGTGTGTGTGTGTGTGTGTGTGTGTGTGTGTGTGTTGCTAGGAATTGAACCCAGTGCCTTGTGCATACGAACCAAGCACTCTACCAACTGAACTATATCCCCAATTTTTTAAAAAATTTAAGTTGATTCAGAATGCATAATGAATGTAACAGTTGTGTCCTTTAAGTGAGATGATAGTGAAGTCAAATATAAGTCATCTGCATATTATTTAACTTAAAAAATCAAACAATTTTTGGAGTGTATGTGAAATTCGATGTTATTTAGAGTTATTTTTCAGGTCCCAAATAGGATAGCCAGAAAGCTTTATTTGACTTATCCAAGTTTATGGTAAAACTCATGGTGAATTGGAAAACACACAGACTGTTGTGTTGTAAACTTAACTAATGCTATACATCTACAGTAGCTCCCAAGAGTACCTACAGATAATTAGAAGAATTAGAAAACACATAAATATCGCACATGGGGTGCGGGGAGGTGGAGAGAGGTCTCCAAACAGCCTAAGCAGCAAATGTGGAGGGTACTGGTTTGTTTTCCATCCATCTGCAGGTCGCTGATTAGATTCAGCACGCTGGCCAGCTCCCCCGTGCAGGGGTTTTATAGGCCTAAGCGAAAGGAACTAGGGGAAGGAAGGCACCATCAGCTGCTCTGTATTAATAGATTACCCCACAGACTGCAGCCAAGACCGTGCAGGGGAGTCGGTACATTAATATCTGGATGCTGCTCAATTCTTGGGGTGTGTCTTTCTCATCTGGGGGGAGGGGGCACTCCTGGGCTTACCTATTCCAGCGAGTCAAAATGGGTGGAGAAAGGGCTGAGAGACCAGATGCCTTGCTTTTTCAGGGGTAGGTTCATCACAGTATAAAGTGATTTCAGTTCTTCGGAACCTAAGAATGCTCATGCTCATCATAGCTTTAGGGAAGTAGGCAAAAGCAGGGGTTTCACTTAAGAAGTTGAGCTGCATGGTCGATTCGACAACACACTCAAAATTTGATTCCCTTGTATTTTAATTAGAGTGGGCGTCTGCGTAGTAAATCGCTGGAATCAGAGTTTTTACGGGTGGGACAAACTTGCTGCCCAGCCCCCACCGCCCAGGCGTGAAGACTGGGGCTAGGAGATCGACCCTTTCTTCACCACACGGAAACTCGCACACTTCCTCTGAGTGACGGACACCTCTTGATTTGGCCTCTCCAAACGGCCTGTTCTCCGCTGGTAAAAGTCACTGGTTTCTGTATTTTTCCCTCCCCCAAGAACTTTTTTTGTCCCCTGGAGGGGAACAGAGGTCAAGACAATGAGAAGTGGGGATCAAGGAGGAAAATATCCACAAAAGGGAGGGGGCTAGGAAGAAGTGAAGGCGTTAGGGTCACAAGTGCTGCGACGCTCAGGCTTTGGGGACGCTCCGCACCCTCCCCCTCTCCAAGCCCTTTGCTACCGCCCTTTACGCCGCGGACACGGGAGAGTTAAGCCAATAAACACGTAAGCGCCGCTCCCTCCCCAATCGGCAAGATGCCTCTCCGGCTCTTGGCTGCATCGACAGCTTGCAACACTCGGCATCTTTTCTGGAGGCGCCTCCTTCACCGGCTGCAGATGGCATCCGGCTGCGGGCTTGGGGCTCGCAATTGATTCTCGCCCTTGCCCACCTCGGATCCACGGACGCACCTCTCCCTTCTCCTCCTCCCCTCGCGCTCCTGGGTCTAAGCCCAGCTCGCGATCGCCGGGCGGAGGAAGCAGTCGCGGCGGCCGAGGCTGAGCAGCAGCAGCAGCGCGCTAGCTCCCTGACCTGCGGAGAAGCGCCCACCCGCGAGAGCCGACCTCCGGCTGCCTCCAGCGCCCCCCACCTTTTGCACCCCAAATCGAGGGCTCCAGGGACCCCCCTTCCCAGACGCCACCATGCTGGACCCTTCGTCCAGCGAAGAGGAATCGGATGAGATCGTGGAGGAGGAGAGCGGCAAGGAGGTGCTTGGCTCGGCCGCGTCCGGAGCGCGCCTGTCTCCCAGCCGCACCAGTGAAGGCTCGGCCGGCAGCGCCGGGATGGGGGGCGGCGGCGGCTCTGGGGCCGGGGTGGGCGCAGGCGGCGGCGGGAGCGGCGGCTCGAGCAGCGGCGGCGGGGCCGGGGGACTGCAGCCCAGCAGCCGAGTCGGCGGCGGCCGGCCCTCCAGCCCCAGCCCGTCGGTGGTGAGCGAGAAGGAGAAGGAAGAGTTAGAGCGGCTGCAGAAGGAGGAGGAGGAGAGGAAGAAGAGGCTGCAGCTCTATGTGTTCGTGATGCGCTGTATCGCCTACCCCTTCAACGCCAAGCAGCCCACCGACATGGCTCGGCGGCAGCAGAAGGTAGGTGCGCCTGGGAGGCCCTGGGAGCAGCCCCGGACGTCGCCAGGCGGGCGGGGCGAACAATGGGAACTGGCGGCGCAGCTGGCGAGGAGGAGTCGGAGCAGGTGGAGACCGCGCCCTGGGAAGAAGGGGCTGCGAGGCTGCCTCCCTGAGGCCCAGTCCGGCCCGGAGTTGCTGGGACCCGCGCGGGGCCTGGAGCGCAGCTCAGCGCCGCGTGCCAGGGCCTCCCTGCCAGGGTGCTGGGCAAGCAGGTCCCGCTGTGTAACCCCGTAGGCTCGGGAGTGACTTGCAGCCCGCGGCGCCCAGAGAGGCCTTGCTCGCTTGCAGGGCTCCCAGCGCTCTCCAGCGGCCGGCGGCTGCGCTCAGCTCCGGCCCGCCCTCTTGGGCGTGCGCTAGGCGGGCGGGGGCACCGGCAGGTGGGGGCGCCGGTGTGCTGGAAGGAGAGCACCTCCGAGTAGTGTTTAGCTCCCGAGGACTCACGGTAGCCTCAGGGGCCAGCGGGAGAGACGCTGCGAAGGGCACCCTTCTTCCAGCTCATCAGCTGATCACCAACCCGGGTCGCCTAAGGCCCTGGGGCACCTCTCCCCACTGGTCGCTGTTCTTTCCAATCGACCTTTCCCTTTCACACTGACTCCTGAGTAGGGGCGCGCCTGGTGGGCCTTCTGCCAGGGTCAGCACCTCCACCTTCTTCCCTTTGACCCTCTTCTCTTCCCAAGGTGACTTCGCTGCCACCTTCTGGCTCGCCGAGGCCCTCCAAACCCTGCTGCTTCATAAAGTGCAGCTGCAAAAAAAAAAAAAAAAAAAAACACCCTCGCAATTATAAGCATCAGAAAAGCTTTTTGTGTCTGAGGCTGAGGCAAGGCTAAAGCGGTTCCGCGCCGCCTTTGATGTGGGGAGGGAAAAAAAGCGCCTATTTCTATCAGCTATTCTCCAGCCAAAGAAAGGAGGGGAGTGGTGCACACGGCAGGGTGAGGGGCAGTGGCGGGGGACCAGCAGAGAAGCAGTCAGGAACCCAGGTGGAGTTAGTGAGGAAAGTCAGCAGTGGAGCTAGCAAGAAAGCCGGCGAAGCCCCCAAGGGGCGATGTGACCCCATCACATCAGGGCAGCTCTAACCCCATCAAGGGGGTTAGTTTCTTAAAAGAGACTAGTGTCTTAAAATAGTGCATTTCTCCGTTGCTGTCTTTTAAATCTGAATTATATGTTGCTGTAGTAGAGTGTTAGATTTTTTCCATATTTATCTTACATCATTATCTTGAGTTAGCACAGATTCCTGTTTGTTTTGCTTACATACGTACGCACATTACCCAACCCTGCCGATTTATTTCAGCCATCACAAGTTTGGATGTCAGTTTTTACTAAGAAATAAAACTCATTTCCTGGCTAAGAGCCAGAGGTGGGCTCTTCACCCCACCCTCAGAGTGGCCCCTTACTTTTTTTTTTTTTTTTTTTTTTTTAGTATCATAGAGCAAAAGTATTCTCAGAGCAAGGAAATGTATTTTTGTTGTTGTTTTTAAGGTTGGATGTTGGGTCCACAGAACTAGACATTTCAATTTTCAGCTTGGAATTACTGCAGTAATTGTGTCTTCCTAGTACTGCCAAATCCATCTCCAGTGTATCCCATTAGTGACAGCACTAACTAAAGATGTGCTATACTTTCACAATGAAAATAAAAAAGAAGGGGGGAAAAAACTCTTTCATTAACAAAGTCTCAGTAACTGCATCCTTTAAACAGATGATTTGTCTCCATTCCAACACTGTTACAGGAAAAAAAAAAAAAATCCCATGTAGACCCAGTTCTTCCAAACAAACCTTCAGCCATCTGACAAAGATCATTATGAGGTCACGTTTTTCTGATCTGATTATATGTTTTACCTAAATGCATTTAAAGCTGTGGTTTTAAGGGGCAAGCTGATTCTGTTTTAACCCATGACCTTAACATCAGAGAAACTCCAGAGCAGATAGATAACATTGCCCTGTGGTCAAACTATTTTTAGTTATTGCAGGACAATATTGCTAAATATATATCCCAGCAAAGCAACCCTAGGGCCTGTTGGCTCTACTGGGAAGCTGAATATATATATCTTCTTATGTATAAGAGAAGATAAGCTTTTCCCATTGTTGTATTTTGAAATTTTTAATGCATTTCTGGAAAAGTATTTTTGCTCCTTTTCCAAATAAAAGTCTTAAAACTCTGATTTTTTTTCTTGAATGAATGATCAGTGAAAGTAATTGAAATGTTTTCATAATCATTGTGCTAAGACTGTGGCCAGCAAGTGGAATTGGAGAACTAAAATTAGCCTTGGAGAAATATAAACTACTTAACTAAACATGAGTTCATAATAGAATAGAAATGAACTAGAAAAACCCAGAGAGAAGTAAAATGATGTATAGAAAGGGATTTAGTGATATGGGAGGCAAAGAGATAGAACTGTCTATGAAAAGGAATTGCTGAATAGAGGAAAAGATCATATTGTAGAAAGTATAATGCACCTTATAAAACTAAATAGTCTGTATCATGCTATCACTTTTCAAGTATCCATTACTATATGCAAGAGGCCACACTTTGATCATTTTTTAAGAAGATAAACTTTATTTTGTAGAATAGTTTTAAATTAGCTGAAAACTGAAAATCAAAATAGTACAGAGAGTTGCTATTGACCCTACAGCTAGTTTCCCCTATTATTACTTAATATCTTATGGTAGTATGGTACAGGTGTTACAATTGAAGGAGCCCTTAGCAATACATTGCTATAAAGTCCATAGTTTATTTAGATTTCCTTGGTTTTCATCTAAATTCCTTTTTCTGTTCTTTTTAAATCATTTTTAGTTCTCCTCAAACCCTATCAATATGCAAATTACCAAGAGAAAACTGAGATTTGAAGGTTTTGTGGTTGCTTAATACACTAAGTAGATAGGTAAATGAATGAGAATTAAGACATGGGACATTCTGATTCCAAAGCCTATCTTTTGAATAGGAGAAACTGACCCAAAATATTCTAGTACAAGAACAGAAGCACCATGATAACATGTCAAGTGTACCTGTCCACCCAGGGTTATTTCTAGTTGACTTGCTGTCTACCCCTCTACCTCTGGGAACCAATCAAATGGTCAACATGGGCATTTAGGTATTAACCTCATAAGGAATATAGAGGAAAGAGCTAAGCAGTTAGCTGGTAAATCCAAACACCAGACTGTTGTCAGTTTGGCTATGTGATTCTAGCTGAAAAAAAACAAGTATTTTAGCTTAAAAGAATAATTGGGAAGGAGCCAGGGGAAAAGGTGTCATTGTTTGGATAATTTTGATAGTTAATTACTTGGGTTTCACTTTTCCTAGGGTGGGGGATAAGTACCTGGGCATTCCAACCATCTTATTTCATTAAAAGACAAGACTCTGAACAGACAATTTGCAAACCCTATTTTATCATTTATAGGCATATTTTGCTTGCATTTCTGTGACTCTAAATATAACTTGATGGTGTTCATCATTTATGACCCAAACAAAAAATTCCGTACCCGACTGTCAAAATTTAGATTTCAGCAACTCATAATGACAACAGTTCTTTGCTTTCCCTGCCCCCCTCTTCCCCCCACCCCTTCTTTTGTCAGAATGGTAGAATGAATACCTAGAAGTTGGCATGGCAAAGCTACACCATCTGTTTCTAAACTGTGTAGTAGTAACGGTGTTGGGTGGCTACCTCGTGTGAACTAGCTACATATAGATGTTACTGAGGGCGTGTACAAGCAGGCATTGTAAACAATTCTGTGTAATATTTAGATTGACAGCACCATTATTTTTAATTGGGAATCATTCATCATGCCTGGATTACGAAGAGTCTGAAGCAAGCCTTCTTGTATATGTGGGTGTGTGTGCCTGTACGTCTCTGTGCAGGTATTTATATGATGGTAGGAAGGAGTGATCCTAAAATTGTGTCTACTTCATGGCGTCTCCTATTTCATTCAGGAGGACTTGATGACTGCACCAAATGTGTTATAAATTCAAGCTACTCATTTCCATGTGATTCAGCTTATAACCTTCCACTGAAAGTACAGCCAATGTTGAGTCACTTTTAGCCATAGAGAATCCATGTTTACCCATTTACTTATTTGCCTTTATTTGGGCACAACTCAACAGCAAGGCTTTTCATAAAATTTAAGATCTAGTACTGGTTAAGTCTGTGTGTGTGTGTGTGTGTGTGTGTGTGTGTGTGTGTGGATTTTAAATCAATAATAGTGATTCATTCATTCTGATATGCTTGGAGGCCCTTGGATTGCTCCACTATTCAAAATTCTTAAGGTTTGCCTTGTCAATGCAAAATATGATTTGCATTCAAAAAAATAAAATAGTCTAACCTTTTGAGAGAACTATGTAACTGTTAAACCAGATTTCCTTCCAGCAGAATTACATGTTTCTCTTTTCATCAGAGGGAGAATTGAATTATTTAAATATGTTTTTTGACATTTTCCCTGCAATCTCTTTGGTGCAGACAGAACTGTTATGCCCTGGTACTAGCAGAGACTTTCTGAAGATGCAGAATCTAGAAGAAGTAACAAAAGAGGTTTTTGCCTCATTACACACCTGAAATAGCCTCCYGCTTCCCTAAAACTGGACTGAAGGACAAAGGAAATTAAATTTTTCATTCCTGAAGAATTGCACTGTGTAAAGTAATAAAAGTCAAATGATTCAGGGATCTTTCCCCTGCAAAAGCAAATTCAATACACAATCATAGGCTATCACTTTGAAATATGACCAGTATTTGATTTGGGGCCAGGTATCTCCAAACCAAAGCTGAAAAAGATGAGGAGAGTTCTCATGTCCAGCTGAGTTTTAAATAACCCACTGCACCAAGCACTCTTCCAAGCTTGGAGGCAAGAACCAAAAGCTGTCTGAGGGATGAGCTTGCTAATTTAGGGGAGTTTAGGCTTCAGTTGGGAAGAGGACATATATATGTGTCAAATATGTTGGGAGAAAGTATTTAATAATAAGAAGCTGATTACAAGCT